GCTGTTGGGGAGCAGCACGGGCCACTTGTGAGGCATTGTGTATCTGCGCTTGTTGAGCCAATGTAGAAGCCGATTGCGCTTGAAGTGCCATATTTGCCGCCAGGTTCATATCTGATGGCGCAGGCGCAGATGTAGACGGTAGGGACTGGACAGAAGTAGCCACAGTCTGTAACTGGGCAGGGCTCGACGCGGGATTGGTTCCTTGGGTCACTGGGACTGGGATGGGTGTTTGCCCATTGGAAGGATGGCCTGCTGGATACATGGAGTGAGAACTCTGACAAGTATATAGTCCTCCTTCCGAGAATCGGTGCATAATCACTGAGAGATTCTGACTAACCTTTGGATTGTGGGCTATAGCTGGATCGACTTTCCGGCCGCGAACCCGTAGCAATCTGGCCGAGTTGTTGTTGATAGAGATGGTGAGACAGAGGTTGCTGGGCCTGATGAGGGTGGGATAAGGGCCTTTGAATGTGGTTTGGGATCATGCCCGGCTGAAATGGAGTCTGGGCATGGTCAAACGGAGTCCCAGGAGGGATGGCGTAGGCGACATTGGGCTGGGGATTGCTGAAAGCGTACGGTCCTGGATTCTGGGAAGCATATATGGGTAAGGCGGGGTTGTTCATGGCTGTTCTGAATGTACTAGCAGTCGTTTGATTGGGCCTTGGAGCTAACTAATGAATTTCGTGAAGATGCGAAGCGTAGCGTAGCCTTGAAGCAAACGTGGGTTGATGCGGTGTGTTGGGTTTTGACTAACGACGACTCAGGTAGGAAAGGAAGAGTGGCGCTACGGCGGGGTTGCGGCTGGTCGCCGCCAACGACGCCAAAAATCTCAAACCAAAACAAGCCAAAGACCAGCGCCAGGCGTCACTCGGTCCGTGGCCAAGAGGGGCCTGGACAGGGATCAGGGCACGGGGAAACGCAGGGAAAGGGACTGGGTGACGGGAGCCTGATGCACGGTTGGCCAGATGGCGGTGATGGATGACCCAGAGAGCCGGATGGCTTTGCGTAAGAAACGGGAAGGAGAAAAGGGAGTGAAGTTAGGATGGAAAGAAGCGAGAGAACGGGCCCTGATGAGTCGCTCGGTCGTCAGCGGCCACATGCCACATGGGCTGCTGCACCCTTGCCTTAGCGACGAGCCCGAGTACTTGTGTTTGCTCTATAGCTGCGGTGAAAAGGGCGATTAGGTCATTTGCTACTCCGTATCAACAAGTACTCGGTCCTACGAGAATCAAAGACTGTGCCAGTTGAAGAATTTATTTGCCTCTTCTCTGCTTCATCTCTGCTATCCATTGAGATGCCAACGGCCCTGGCACCACATAAATCCTCACCAGTCCGTCCACCACTTCGGTCTTCCCGTTCGAGAGCGCCTCCAACAAAGTCAACTTCTTACCAACCTTCATCAGCCCCCCACTGATTGTATCCATGTAACAGTCTACCGTCGACAATTTGTACTCGTTCTTACTGTCCCACGGCAGGGGCAGAATGTAGCTCAAATGATGGGTGATGGCATCTTTCTCAGCCCAGGCCTTGATCAGATCTGTCTGGTTGTGCATCGGATACAGCAGCATGACCGGGAACTCCAGCAGGCTGGTCGGCGATAGAGGGTCTGGCGACAATCGAATAGTCGCGTCTTCCAGATTTGGAGGCTGTTCGGAACCACGCACGATAATCTTTCGTGCCTTCAACGCCGCCTCTAACACTTTCCTCTCCTGCTGTTTCCTTCTCAGCTCCGCCAGGCGCCGCCGGTCTTCTGCCTCTTTGGCTTTCATCCTGCCTCTGATCTGATCCAGCAATTTCTTCAACGCTGTATTGTCTGGGTCGAGCTTAAACCCGCGGGATGCCACATCTAGCGCTTCGAGCACGTTGTCCAGGGCGAACAAGGCCGAGGCTGACCTGTAGTGCGCTTTGATGTTCGAAGGATTGATACGCAGGGCAACAGCGCAGTCCGCGGTGGTCGACCGGTAGTTTTCTGCACTGTCAGCATGCCTTCTGCGGTCAAGATCAGACCGCCATACTCAGCTCTAGATTGCAGCGAGCTCGATTGACATGGAGCTGTTCATTAAGCAAGACCCGGAGCTTCTCCTCCGCCGTCTGATCCTCGGCCTTGTCCCATCTCTCCTCGTCGTTGTCTGCCAGGACTGCAATCCCTTTGGTATAGAACTCTTTAGCATCCTTCCATTTCTTCTCCGCGACCATTTCGTTTCCACGCTCTTTAAATCCCTGGGCCACGTCCGCCTTTGTACCCTCATGCTGCAAGGCTTTTATGGCCTCGAGCATTATATTCTCTCCATCTGCGCACCGTTGCTCAGCCAAATGCCTGAGCAGCCGTGGATTTGGGCGTACCGTCGTTAGCTGCTGCGTCGAGACTGTTCATGAAGAGCGGGGTTTTGCTCATGTCCTGCACGATCTCCTCGAAGCTTTTGGAAGACATTTGGTTTGGTTCAGGACCGAAGGCCGAGATGTGCTGATCGTACAGCTCCTCGATCGAGGTTTCTTTCTGGGCATCATTGAGATTGACGCGCTCGTCAAAATCATCGGGAAGTTCTTCTATCCGCGACATGATCGATCGGGGCAGAGGGCAAAATGGCTTGTCACAAAGCAGGAAACGAGATGTGTCCCAACTAATCAGAAATCTTGGTGCGGGGAAACCAAGTGTCCATGGAATATATAAAACTAAATACAGTTTATTCTGACCACCCTGCTGTACTCCTGCGGTAAGAGAAGATCTACAAGTAGACAAAAGATGTGTCTGAACCAAATACTTGTAGATTTATGTTTACATGTGCTCAGTAGCTCCTCGGCAGCTCGAGTACTTTTTCGCTCACAAAGTTCAGAATCATCTCTCGACTGATCGGGGCGATTCTGGGGACGAAGATTTCCCTCATGTATCTCTCCACATCATATTCCATGGCATACCCCATACCGCCGTGGCTCATGACTGCTCTTTCACAAGCTTTGAATGCTGCCTCCGCTGCCAGATATTTGGCACTGTTGCATGCCACTCCCACCGCATGTGGGCTGATGGTGGTGTCCGTTTTGCTTCGATCATACAAGCGAGCCGCATGGTAGGCAGCTAACTTGGCGGCTTCCAGATTCATGTAGGCGTCAGCAAGGGGATGTGCAATTGCTTGATTCTTCCCAATGGGTCTGCCAAAGACGACCCTCTCCTTGGCGTACTGTGCAGCCTTCTCGACCGCTGCATAGCCGAGCCCGAGCGCTTCTCCCGCTAGGAGACATCTCTCAGCGTTCATCCCATGCAAGATGATCTTGAAGCCTTGCCCCTCTTCTCCAACGAGGGTGTTCTCTGGCACCTCATAGTGATCAAAGAAAACTTCGTTGGCGTCGACCGCCCTTCCGCCCATCTTCTTAATCCTTTTGAGTTCCAAGGCAGGGTTGGATCTGTCAATGTCGATACAGAACATAGAAAGTCCTTCACTTGGCTTTTTCACGTTTTCCAGAGGTGTCGTTCGAGCCAGGAGAATCATTTTCGAGGCAACCTGTGCGCACGTGATCCAGATCTTTTGTCCTGTGGCTCGCTGTGAACATGCCCCTCTGGTGTAAAAAGACTTTGGACGCTACTTACCAGTGATTATATACTTGTCTCCTTTACGAGTGGCGGTGGTCTTTAGCCTCAACGTGTCCAGGCCGGTGTTTGGCTCAGTCACGCCGAAGCATACTCTCCATTTGCCGTTGATAATGTTGGGTATCGTTGATTGCAGTTGTTCCTTATTTCCAAACTTGGCAAGCGGTTGCGTCTTGAGACTTGTTAGCAAGAATTTCTCCCTAGCGTACACGATCAGGAGCATAAGCTAACAGCGTAGACGTTTCCGTGAATGGATTGAGCTCCAGCCATGCCAGCCCCTGATTGAGATATTGTCTGCAGCATCATAGTCGCTTCTGAGATGCCCAATCCTGCTCCTCCGAATTCTTCTGGGAGAGCAATACCAAGCCACCCGTCAGCTGCCAAAGCAGCATGTAATTCTTTGGGATCGGTCTCAGTTTGGTCATGCTGTTGCCAATACTCGTTTGGAAATTGAGCACAAATCTTCTGAATAGCCTCACGCACGGTCAATTGCTCTTCAGTGAAACAGCTCATCTCCATAATCCTGCGGTTTCTAGTCGCAGAAAAGTGCCTTCTTCCATGGTTCCAAAACGCCCGCTGCCATAACCGAGGTTGGGAGGAGATAGCTGACAGCGACCTGGAGCTTAGCTGTTGTGAGAGCCGATTAACACAATATCTGGTGGGCATGGCGGTGATCTGACCAGGGGCCGGCTACCGTGCGGGGGGCCGTGAATACGGTATCTGTAGAGACTGTCGTCGTCGGAAAATGACGACGCAGAATATGTACTCGGTATATAGTTGGAGAAACTCCGAGATCGCTGTCTTCTCCAACTAGATCAGAAGTGCCGGGACTCGGGAGTTCGACAATTCCGGGCCGAGCCAATCACTGTCCACTACTTGCGTCTCGAAAAGACAGTTGGTGATTTCGAGACGGGGAATCTCGGAAACGCGTGCATTCTGTCAGTGCTTCGAGCGTGCGGCAGCGGCACCAGAAAGTACTACATATTACAGTAAATCATCATATCCCGCTTTTGGCTTCCGGTACAACAATGATGAGCATGAACCACCTTGGTTGGAGTTTGAAAGTTTGGAATCGACGGATAGATTTCCAACAGAATCAACTACAGTGATGCAATTGAGATGCAATCTCAGAGGGGATTATCTGAAACTGTTAGCGAGACATTGCAAAAATACTATACCTGCCACGTGATTGCGTGCCCCACGCTAGTACCAATGCGGCTGTAACCAAAACATACGAAAGGTTCCAGCTTTATGGACTTTCGTTTCTCGTCTCACGATTAGTCCTTGAATGCCTGATATCCTGCCACGACAACCATGCACCTACTCACATTCAGAGATACAACTTCGAAAAAGCCTTGACGCCAACGTCCTCAGCAATCCATTATCTCTTTCCTGCGCGTCGATATCGCTGCGCACAATGGCTACCAAAGGCACAGCAGTCGGATCAGTCTCTTGGATAGCTGCCGAAAAGGAGAATGCTCTGCACTTACTGCAGAGTGAGAAAGAAGAAGTCATATACCCAGCCCAGCACCAGCTCGAATGGCTCAACGAGCATATGGCCGAGATATTCAACAAGAGCTGTCTGTATGTCAAACTTGGAAACTGCGACGGATGCAGAGATGCTGACCGAAATCAGTGATGTTGCCAATGTCTTCAAAACACCAGGAAAACTTCGAGGGAAAACTCCTCGCACTGCGAGGAAGCGAAACGCCCAAGATGCACGAATAGTGAGCTGACATTTTATTACCCGCTGCGACAGTGGCTAATCCTTGTTCCGCAGCCTTTGAGCGACGTCTTCTCGTCGAAACCTTTAAAACGCCAGAGTCCTCAGAGAAAAGCAAATCAAACGAAACTACGCTTCGAAGTCACGATCGAAACCGATCAAATACAACAACCCTTCAAATCACAGACTGATTCCGGCTACCATACTGCCAGTCAGGACGACGTGGATATCAGCACACATCCTCGCCCCACCAATGTCCCAGAGGCAGCACAGAAAGAATCTTCCGACAATACGCAAACGATATCAGACCATAACATGAATGATGCAATGGACGAGGGCCACCGCACTACCGAGGGATCGTTCCATTCAGCAAAAGAAGACCAAACAACAAAGATAGCGGGTCCGGAGGTTGGGATGACGGGGACCAGGCCACAGGTTGAATCCCCGCAGACTAAACAGAGTGATATTTTTGACGCAGCAAACGAGCACCAAGTCGATGTACACCCCGAGTTGGACGATATTGGCTCTCCTTCCGATGAATCAAGTCCTGACAGACCTTTGGTGAGGAAGAGCAGCCTGACATTTGCTTCCTTGCCCGCACGGGAGCCATTGAAATCGAGTCTTGGCGCCAGAATCTCACGAACAAGTCATATCGACCAAGTACATCGATCTCACTCAAGTGCATATGGGCTCCGGCCAACTGTTTCTTCCAGTCAAACCGCACAGCATCCTGTCCGTGACGACGACGTGGATGTTGCGATGAGTAATGCAGATGATGATGAGAATGATGAGAATGTGCAAATTCTGGGGCATTATAATTCTGAGAGCGAGAATCAAGTCACCAAAGATCACTCTAAATTTTCGACGCAGAGGCTGCATGAGAAAATTGACATGCTTGGAAAATTCCCTCCTCCACGACTCTCCAAGTCGATTCCTTCAGCTATTGTGCTGCCCGACCTAAGGCAACAGGACAAACAGCGTCACGAACCCCGATCTGGGAACCAGATACAGATCGTGACTGATGACGACGATGACTGGATCAAACCACTGGCCACTCCAGATGCTGCCGGATCATCTCCTCTGAAGACTGCAAATGCCACTCAATCAGATAGCGAGGAGGAATATGACCTTCGGGCTCCCGAATTAATCGCACACGACGAGCGGATGAGAACTCCCGTATGCATGTCACCGGGTCCTGGTAAAATGATGCCCGGTTATGGGCACACTAAGTCTGCTTCGACTGCCACTCTGGCTTCTCCTGCAAAGGCATCCATGGCACCGCCGGCAAGCCCTGCGAAATCCATATCAGTGTCCAATCCGGCTCAAACAATAACAAGCCCACAAGGCTCCCCGAGGCGATACCTCGATCTTAGCGCTTCCAAGTCCAAGTTGCAATCTATCATGAAGACCGCTAAGGGTCTATTTACTAGCAGCGCAAGTGTGTCGGCCGCGGCTAAGTTGGAAACCTTGTCCCCCCATGCTCTTAAGGTCGCTTCAAATGCAATGCCTGGAATGTATCCGAATCTCAACGCACTGATCGAAGACAAGCCTTTACCTGCAAACCCCCCAAAAGAGCCAAGGAAGACCCGCAGTTCCACAGAAAGAGAAAAAGAAGAGAAACGAAAGGAAAAAGAGGCTCAGCTGAAGCAACGAATGGATGATCAGCTGGAGAAGGCGCGAGAGGAAGAGAGGAAGAAAGTTGCAGAGCAAAAGCTCGCACGCGGACAGATGGCTAAAAAGGACTTCGAGCAGCCCCCACCTTTAAGCCCGAAGCATCAAGCTGATGAAGAAACGACCGAACTGGCAGCAAGACCAACTCGACCAATAAGATTGGGAAGAGAGCATCCGGTCAACAAGGCTAAGCCTGCACCAGTATCAATACGTGTCGGAACGCTCTCTCAAAGAGTGCCGGTCAATCCTTCGCAAGCTGCGTCGAATGCCCAGGAAACTCTGGCTGCGGAGCCCAAACGCCCAGGCCTAAATAAAAAAGCTAGCAATGCCTCCTTGCAGTCAACGACATCGGCAACCGTGAAGTCTTCAGTCCATCCGCCTCCAAAGCCAAGAGCTTTGCTTGCAGCGGAACGCAAGAAAGAGCAGGATGAACGAGAGGCCCAGAGAAAGCTGGAACAGAAACGAGAATTAGAACGTAAGCGAGCAGCTCAGCAGGAAGAGGCACGGAGACAGGAACAGAGGCAGCGTGCAGAAGCCGAGAAACGTGAACGAGAGCGAGTGGCGGCAGAACAAGCGAAGCGACAAGCTCAGCAGCAAGCTATTGAACGCAAACGTCAAGAGACAGCTCGAAAAGCAGAGCAGCAACGGTTGGATCGTGTGGCCAATGAAGCAGCCCAGGCTGCCCAGGTTCGACCTCCCTCGCGTCTTGGTGGTCAAACTACAGGCCGTTCAGTACTCAATCATCCCTTACCTACCAATCCCGCAAAGCCTGCGAAGCGACCACTGGAGGAAGAACAGGGCATTATTCGTCCTCAGAACTCAAAATATGGAATTCTTACGTCTCAAGGCGACACCAAGAGACGGAAGACTGAGGAAGAAAGCGTGATTGAGCCCGTTCCACGCCCAGTTGTCTCCGGTGCCCCAATCCGGCAGTCACAACTTGGGAAGAAGCCATCGATCTTTAGCCACGGCACATACACGCAAGCGCAATCCTCGACGCATGTGAGCCAATTCCCCCAACCTCCTAGCCGAACTGCCCCCCCACAGATGCAACAATATGCTACTGGCGGAAAGATTCCCTTCGCGGATGCCCCCAACCCGCCAGCGCACACGAAGACCCCCGTGTCGCTCATGCAGCAGAAGACGATACAGACAGTCAAGTCTTCGCCACAGTATCCGAATGGAGAGGCCATTCATCTCCCGGAGATCCCAACCGATTCGGAGGATGAAGATTCAGACGATGAGGGTAATGCATTCCCAATCCCTGACTGGGCCACACCGGGCCATCTCACGGAACAACTCATCCGGCAGGAGGGGATGGATGGGGATGCAGTTTTTGGACCTATTGCACCATTGAAAATAGAAGAGATATTCTCTAAGGGCAACAAAGATAGACTGAAGCGTCTCAGAGACCGGACGAGCAGCGCGAATTGGGCACTTAGCGGCGATGGGCTGACGCTTGAAGAGGTGAGGGCGGATCGAGAGCAACGAGAGAGGATGAGGCTAGAGGGTGGCTGGAGGTATGGCAATTAAAACCCCAAGCGGAGAGCAATGTCCCCATGGTTACCTAGGATGTGATGTTCGATGAATTGGCGGCTGATATTGCACTTTGGACGGCGTTCGTTTTCACGCGCGGGCGACTGAAGCCGAAAGGACGTATAAAGACCAACCGCACTGGAAACTAGGGTGTTGATTAGCTTCACTGAAGCATCAGGGGCATTTCCCGAACGGCAGGGCGAGGCACAACCGGGAAACTTGGCACATGATATTGGTCTGCTATATACGAGGTACACACGTCGCACCTAGTTCCCAGCTACTTTTGTGAAAAGTCACTCTCTCCCTCGTCCTGCTGCCTCAAGTTCTCGCGGATTGCACCCCTGCAATATGTATTCGGGCAAAACAGCAGCGGCCCGTGCACCCTCAAAGCGACCTAGCAGAACGCTGAGAGGTCCTTGACACCTCCAGCGAGAAATGGCGGGCACGGCTCGCCCTCGGGGCAACCGTCTGGACGCGAGGTGGTTTCCAAGGCCACTCTGCTCAGTGCACGCCTGCTAAGGAAAATGGCCAAAAGTTCCGCTCTTGGAGACTTGATTGACTTGTCGATCAACTGATCGGTACGAAAAAGGTCAGCTGTGCGCCCTGCCGCAGAGGGTCAATAAGTGTTATGTCCACCCGTCTGGGGACGGCCTCCCTCACTCCCCAACCCTGTGTCGTTCATTGGTTCTCTTGGTGATCCAAAGGGGCCAAATCCCCGGTCACCATACGCCTCACTCACAAGGTTGAAAACGCCTTAAATCATATAGGACAAGGTCTGCATTTCTCCTTCCGGAATCCATCTGCCACTGAACTCAACGACTGAAGAGGGCGCCGTGCATATGGGGTTCATGTTCTTAACCGAGGGGTAAACAGCTTCCAGGACGGCCAGGGCATACTTACTACTGGTATGTTCTGCTCTCCATCTTGCACTGACAGCAACAAAAAGAAATATCCCTCGGGACGTATAAAGATCGGTTCTTGCCGACCGCAATCTCTTTGTTGTCGTGCTTGCAAAGAGAAAGTGAAAGTAAGAGGCATACTCAGGTTCTCTTTGTGGATCGATCCAAGGATCACAGACGCTTATCAGGCTGAGCTGCACATCAACACCATGCATATTAAGCCCCCTGTCTTGAAAGTCCTCCTCGCAATTTTATGTACTGCCTTAGCTGCGCCTCTAGCTCACTTTCACCACCCTGCAACTGCAGCGGTTATCAACTACGATCATCTTGCGAACACAACTCGTCATGCCATGGATAAACGCCAGCTACAGGTCCTTGTCGATGCAGTTGCCATCGCCAGAGTCGTGGTAACCATCGCCGACGCCCTCTTGAAGCTGGTCGACGGCATTGAAGACCTTGTGAATCAGCACCCAATTGAAAGCAATTTCACGCAGAGCACGGTCTCAAAATTAAGGGACGTCTATCCGACGATGAATGTGATTGTCTTCCATAACAAAAAGTCTGGCTACGATTTTTACGGCGGTAACCATACACATTACGAATTGAATATCGGATTGGGCAAGACGGAAGGCTATGAGGTCTGGGTATTCGACCACGGCACCTTTGAACGCGCTGGTGATGGTGGGTTTGTGAACTGGTGCTATGACGGCAGTTACGAATCTAACGGGCCTGGTGTCAAGTTTTATAGTATGAACGACAATTAGACGCGAAATTATGAGCTGATGTCGGAGAGGACGAACGAGGAGATTGGTGCTGGTAATGTAGCGAGCCGAATCACCCGTCGATTTCTCCTCTCTTTTGGTCCTATGGTGACGAGTGCTCAGGTTAGACAAGTCATTTTGCAGGATCCTGGGTGCATGCAGTGTGGGAAAAAAAGTCCACTCTACTTTACTGCCTTTCTCGTTGACACTGCACACATGTACCATTCAAATACTTCCACAGCAAGGGGCGTGTTTCGCACTGTCGAAATTCTCAACTGTCCGTTTGACGTAACCTCTGCTCCTGTCGTATACTTCCCTCGCCGATTCCGATAACCCCTCGCGGCCGGGTGGGTTTCTACATTACATAGGTACCTGAGTGTATTAGAACCACGGTCTTTCACAGAGAGAAGCCGCGCGCCGAGGTTTCATCTGATCCTGTCTTATAATACCTTGTAGATAACTGGTTCGGGATAAATATTGAAGTACTAATATGGTAATGGTTATCCTGGGCCCCTATAGACCTGTTTTGGGATTAGCTCTAGTAACTTGAAGATCTGATGACGCCATTTCTATTGCGTATTCAACCGAGCTATTACTCATTTCATGATCCCCTTCTCTTCGATTGCTAGATATCCGAACCTAAGTGGCTTTCCACATTGATCACGGCCTTTTTCTCTAAGATGTCTCGTACGTATCCCGATCATTCGTGCACTCATTCGGTCCTACGTTTCGGGCCCGAGGCGGGCCTTCACTTAGAACAAAGCCATTTTCATTGGCAAGATACACCCGGACGTATGGTACGTCCGCCGCGGAACAGCCTCACCTTCGTCTTGGAAGCACAGCACCCAACTTCCTCGCCAAAACCACCCATGGCGACATTGATTTCCACAAATTCATCGACAACTCATGGGCCATATTGTTCAGCCATCCAGCCGACTTCACCCCAGTCTGTACCACCGAGTAAGGAGCGTTTGCCAAGCTGAAGGATGAGTTCGAGAAGCGAGGAGTGAAGATGATCGGGCTGAGCGCCAACGATCTCAAAAGCCACGACGAGTGGATTAAAGACATCAATGAGATTTCCAAGACGAGCCTGCAGTTCCCCATGATCGCGGACTCGGACCGCAAAGTGGCATTTTTGTATGACATGGTGGATCAACAAGACCTGGACAATATCGACGAAAAGGGCATTGCATATACCATTTGGTCTGTCTTCATCATTGACCCGGCCAAGAAGATCCGGCTGATCATGCTCTACCCTGCTTCAACGGGCCGCAATACAGCTGAAGTTCTCCGCGTCATCGGCGCACTCCAGCTTGGTGACAAAAAGGGAGTGACGACCCCCATCAATTGGGAGATGGGGGAGGATGTGATTGTGCCTCCTTCAGCCTCTACCGAGGATGCGAAGAAGAAGTTTGCTGATGTAAAGGAGGTCCGCCCATATCTGAGGTTTACGACCGGCAATTTGAACAATTCTTATTGACATATATTTTCGCGGATGGTCAAGGATTGTCAGGTCGTGATAGAAAATGGCTAGCAATAGATGTCGTACCATGGCTAAATCCTCCTCCTATCACATACCTAGGTATGTAGCTAGGTCGCAAGTCCTGTGCCGAGTAAACCATCGGTTATTATTAGCGAATCTAGATTTGGTGGAAGCGATGGCAAGAGGAGACGCCGAGCAGGACCATAGGGACGGACAAATCGGAGAAATAACGGCACTGGCCTCCGTCACATCCTCGTACCTCTTTGTACATCCCACGCTGCAAAGAAACAAGAACTCTCTCATGCCTCTGATTATTATTTTGCAAGGAAACAGGCAAATAATTCTTTCACCACCATCACCACCTCCCTTGCCCAGTCCCCCAACTCTCCGACGCTCCAGACGTTCTTCCGCAAGGAAGCTGTGTTCCGGCTCAAGCTCCTCCACGCCGCCCTCGAGGCTGCTCTGGTGACGCGGGTAGTACCTCCAGCTATCCCTCAGTCCAGCCAGCGCCTGGGCGAAAACCGCAGGCTGTGTCAATCTGCCAGTATGGCTTCCACTTCAGCGGCTGCCGTGCTCCTTGGTAGACAATTAAAACAGATGCAGTCGGACAAAGATATACCTGGGATCAGCTGTGGTCTCGTGGACAACAACGTCTTTGAGTGGGAAGTTATGCTCATGATCAACGACGACTGCAAATACTACGGTGGTATGAATCTATTCTCTCCCCTGATCCCGACCATGTTAACAGCTGACGATGGACCAGGAGGATTCTTTCGTGCCCGCCTGTCCTTCCCTCCGGAATACCCTCTGATGCCTCCCAAAATGAAGTTCGAAACCCCCATTTTCCATCCTAACGTCTACCCGACCGGGGAAGTCTGTATCTCCATCCTGCACCCTCCGGTATGTTAATCTTCCATGCAGCCTCATCATACCAGCGCGGGCTAACGGTTATTTCTAAGGAGGATGACCAATACGGATATGAATCTGCAGCGGAGCGATGGAGTCCCGTACAAAGCCCCGAGACGATCCTGATATCGGTCATCAGTATGTTGAGTTCCCCAAACGACGAGTCTCCAGCGAATGTGGATGCAGCCAAGATGTGGAGGGAAGATCCCAAAGGTTTCCGAAGAAAGTGTCAGCGGCTCGTCAGGGAAAGCTTAGGTGACGACTAAATATTGGGATGGAGTATCTATTTGGTGTGATAGTGCGGGGATTGCATCAGCACATTGGGACGGTAACATCTGGAAGAGCTGCAGGAGCATTCAGACATGGGCAGTTTGAGCTATAATTTGCTGCGGGAGTTCTGAGCGTGGGAGTTGGCGGGGCAGACTGTTTCTTGTGCCTTGAGAGATGAAGACATGATTGCATTGCGACGAACATGAAGGAGAGGTATTGGATCCGATCTGATATATTGATATGGGCTGGTCGACAGGATTGTTTCGCAGGAGAGCCGACATCAGCCTAGTGGTCACGGCTCAGCATCAATGGGAATAGCCCGTGCAGTGGCGTTATGAGCTCTGGTACCGACTAGGCGCTGAAAACATTCAACACCTCGTTTGCCGTTTTGGGTGTTGACAGTTTTCCCTACAAGTTGGCCGGACAGGAGAGAATGACTGAGGAGCGTCAGATTCATGTTTCACTTCATGTGGCAAGGTGGGTTTCACCCAGACCGGCCCAGCTGCCAGCAGCCAGCATGCCATTTATGGAACTAGGGAGCCCGAAGGAGGGGCATGGAGGAGAACGCAATGACCAGAGCAGAGGTGAATGGAACCCTCATTTCCATGGCTGTCCCATATTATCCACATGGGGAAGCAACAATCATGGTTAATGGTACGAGGCACCAAGAGACACCGAGAACTTCGTACTGGCGGGGGCATCGTTTGCCGGCCGCAGGGAAACGCGGCAGCCTGAGTGACACTGACTTGCTGCCTGCGGCGTCGGCGGAACATCTGATCCATCGGATTGTTTCACCTTGTTCCCTTGTTCACCGAAGACGCTCCCTGCGCTGAATAAAGACCATCCCATCAGCATCAGGCACCTCACCTGTCCCTCGATTCTTTCTTCTTTCTCATTCTTTCTCCCCCTTCTTCCTCCTCCTTGCCCCATTGTCGTCGTCTGTTGCTACTTTCCTCCCATCTTTGCTCGCCATGAGTCTGTCTAGCCATCTGGTTCGCCGTGGCTTCGAAGTCGCCCACCATGGCATGATCGCAGCCACAGCTGGGTCCGAGCAGCCAGGTGAGGGCGAGTCTCCCCAAGTCTCTCCCCTGGCCGCCCTGATCTTCCTCCTTTCTGGTCTGATTTGCGTCGGCCTTCTTTTTTCGGTGAGTGTCTCTGCTGCTACTCTGCCGCTGGCACTGGGTCCAAACAACTAACGAGCCTGAAGGTTGGTTACACCTACGGCCACTTGCTCCCTATTCTATGCATGGTTGAGAGCCCTGAGACCGATGCCTACGTCCCAGTTGGCACGATTGAACCGACAGACCCTCCTGCCTACTCTGCCACCCCTGCACCCAAGCCCATAAACGGACAACCCGATGACCTCGAAGCCGACACAGAGGGCGATGCCGAAGTTCTCCTGGTCCGCAATAAACCCGTCACGGCATCGATTCGCCAGACCATTCTGCACCTTCGAGCTCGAGCCGGCTACTGGTCTCGATTCCGGGGCTTGTCCATGTTCGTCGTCTGGAATATCATCTGTGGTGTCCTCATCTCCACCATTGCAACCATTTTCCCCAACCGACTGGGAGTTGCCTTTGCCGCCATCGTCGCCGAAACGGCCCTTGCCACCTGGCATATGGCCTGGGTACACATCGTCATTTCGGAGCCCAGCGAGAAGAGATGGTACAAGCGCATTCCCTCGATTCGAACCTGGCCCAAAATAGCCCCTGCCGTTGCTTTATGGGCAACCACCCACCAGGTTGTATCAATTCTGCCTATGCTGGTTTGCGGCTCGTTTGGGTCGCTGAAGCATATGGACAATCCGCACTACAAGCCAGGCCGGAAAGATCTGTATGCTGTCGGCGGGCAGGGATTTCTAGGATTTTCCCTCATGGTTGCTCTATTCGTGCTCCTTCAGATTCCCGCGACCGTCACCTTGGTCCGCGTCGCAGCGTCAATGCTCCCGGAAGAAGATGAAACCATTGTTCCGTTTGACCGCACATTTGGCGGAAAAACTACACCGACTATCATCGGTGGACAAGGCAAGATCGGGTTAGTCGAGGCGTGGAGAAGTTTCCCATGGGCTAGTCGAATGCGATTGCTCAGGTTGATGATCAAGGTGACGCTCATCTTCCTGGCTTGCTGGCTCCTCGCCACCATTGTCTTGGTCGCTGAAGCCCACGTCTTGTTCGGGGACAAATTGGGGGAGATGATGAAGACGTTGCACGGCATTGCACGTGCTCACCAATGAACAACAGCGTGACATGGATGCAGGATCTATTGCTTGGGACTCGCACTTAGCTGTCACTTGATCATTGCATGAAAAATATGTACTTGTACACTAAGGGGAAACAGGCGTTGTCGTTGGCTCTGGAAAGCTGGACAGCATGATATTGGGCGTATTATATTTTGCGAGTTGTACAAATTCTGATGAGTGAGAATGTGAACGTATTGCACCCGGACACCGAGATTCGTCCAGACCATTATTGCTGGCACCGGCTGGAAAACGAAAACATCTCGGGGCATCCGAGGGACCTCCAGAGATGAACCCCACGGCTGGAAGGCACCGAGAGGCAAACCAAGGCCGAACCTCGGCTACTTCCCCCGTGGCTTTTAAACCTTTGCAAGCTTGTGAAGGTCGGCGTTTCTAGAGGCATGCGACGCTTGCCGCGTCTTTAACAATTTCATTCATAGCGTGAAAACTTCTCTTGGGGGTGGTAAATTTATATCTTTCAGCTTCAGTGGACAAGCCCTTGAACTTTGACTCCCAACATCCTACCATGATATTACATCGCTAAATCCAGTCCCTCGCCTTTGACGCGACCGCACCTGCTGCCATTGACCTGCCCCTCCGACAAGCCTCTAGGCTCGCCCGCGCCGTTGATCCCTTCAATCACTCCGTCCGCCCGTTGCCTCCTTCCGCTTCACCAGAAGAATAAGACGCACGACGAAGACTTGCCCTTCGACAAGCATACCTCAACCTTCTGCTTGTCTCTATAGCATTCCTTCTCCTCAATGGCCCCAGCCACCATGCCGACGTCAATAGAGCAACTCCCCTCGACCGAGGAGGTCAAAGAGCAGGTCAAAGAGAGCGCTAAGGGTGCCTTCTCCGGCCTCCGGTCTCTCGTTGCCGGCGGAGTAGGCGGCGTCTGTGCTGTCATCGTCGGGCACCCTTTCGACTTGGTCAAAGTCCGCCTGCAGACCGCCGACAAAGGAGTCTATTCGGGCGCAATCGATGTTGTGAAGAAAACTGTCGCTCGCGAGGGACTGGCGAGGGGTCTCTATGCAGGTGTCTCCGCTCCCCTGGTGGGTGTCACGCCCATGTTCGCCGTCAGCTTCTGGGGATACGACATGGGGAAAAGGCTTGTGGACACGTTCAGTACGGTGCCGGTCAAGAATAACACGCCCCAATATTCGATCGGGCAAATTTCCGCCGCGGGATTCTTCTCAGCCATCCCCATGACGCTTATTACAGCGCCGTTTGAGCGTGTTAAAGTTCTACTGCAGATCCAAGGTCAAAAACACCTCGCGCCGGGCGAAAAACCCAAATACTCTGGTGGATTGGACGTCGTGCGGCAGCTGTATAAAGAAGGAGGCATAAGGTCCGTATTCAGGGGCAGCGCCATGACCCTTGCCCGAGATGGCCCCGGTTCCGCTGCGTACTTTGCCGTCTATGAGTACGTCAAACGCAGCCTCTCTCCCAAGGACGCCGAGGGCAACGCAACAGGGGAATTAAGTCTGACGGCTGTCATGACCGCCGGTGCCTGTGCAGGTGTGGCTATGTGGATTCCTGTCTTTCCGGTCGATACGGTCAAAAGCAGGATACAGACTGCCGAGGGGAGGCCGACTATCGGTGGTGTCATTTCCCAAGTTTATAGAAGCGGTGGCGTCAAAGCTTTCTTCCCAGGTTTCGGTCCGGCGTTGGCAAGAGCTATTCCAGCAAATGCGGCCACGTTTGTGGGGGTCGAGCTGGCGCATAAGGCTATGAATTCAATGTTCGATTGAGGGGATACACTGAACAGGTGACACACTGTTGGATCATCAGCTTTGTTCAGGCCGTTCCGACTACTACAACTTCGGGTTTGGCCTTTCCTATTCTCGGTGGGATCATGCATCCCGGTGTTGGAGGAGTTCTTTTTTCAGGCATACATCGAATGAGGATAACAGCAGATGGTATGTACAACAACTGGGGTTTATTTGTCCACAGTCATCTTTTAGCTAGGTCTCCATTTGCCCCGATGGTGCTTCTAGAGCCCTGGACGTCGGAATGTGGAATACTCTTGACACGGAACGGTCAGTGGTATTCCAAATCGATACTAGGAGCAATTATCACCTGCCTCGCTCGCTAGATTCCAGAGACAGATGCTATCAGCTGAGGAGCAGCGGCAACCCTCCGTCCAAGTTGACACTATGCCCTTGCACACGATGCGACACCCAAAGTTGACGCCCACATTCTTCACATGACGATGCAGCATCTACACCATCCGTCTGACCTCTCCCAACCTTCCCGAGTGGCTCCGCCGCGCAACTTCATCCCAACTTCGTTCTTTTCCCTGCTCGGCGATCGTTTGAAAGAGTCATATCTAGCGTGGGATTGAGCAGGGCCAGCATCGATCGCGCTACCGCCGGGGCGTTGGCAGTTGGGAATTTCTTTGCCGACCTCAAGGAACTCGTGTACAGCTGCCCGGAATGAGTTGAGCATGTTTGAGATGTATGGCAGTGCTCGTCTATGGATATGGATTCGTTGCGAGTCTCGAAATTGATATCAAACGTGGGCACCGAATCTGAAATGTTGTGCTGATCGTTGATAGATATGTTGTATAGGACAGGCTAAGGAGCCCAAGGACAGCAAGGGAAAGGCGAAACACGAATATATATACTCACATATGGAATGCCGTTTGCCCATCTTTTTCAACATAGCCAAGTTATGGGAGAAGCGAAATGAGTGACCGGTTCTTTCATTGCAATCATCACTGCAATCATCACTTGTCTCTATGCACTGACCTACCCCCCACCGAAACAGGCTGATCCAGTGAGTGGTGACGAAACAGTGTAATAGCGACGACGTATAGAGAAAGCGAGCGCGAATAATCACGCTGGGATGACTTCGTCGTTCGCAGTCTCGAAGGTAGTAGCTCGTAAGAGTGACTCCATGTCCGCAAACCCAGGTCGAGAAGAGCGCAAAACGGGCGTTTGAAGGCAGTGGCTGGGCAGTGTCAACTTTCACGAAAACGGGAAAGTATGATCTGACTCGGACTTGGCACCGGACTTGGCACTGGACAAGGCTGGGGACAAGGCTGGGACGGGCGACAACACACCGAGTGCGGCATCAATTCATTGCCAGTCAATCCGCGTGTGCTTGAAGGTTTTCACATCTGCCAACATGGTTCTCTCCTTCATTCTCGTCCAGAATCGGCAGGGCAAGACGAGGTTAGCCAAGTGGTACGCCCCTTACACTGACGAAGAGAAGGTGAAGCTGAAGGGCGAGGTAAGACAGGGTTCAAACCCCACGACTGTCACATTCAGTCTGCTCCCACTCCTCGAGCATGTTCATTTCACGCTGACTGCTTTGGATATTGTAAAGGTCCATCGACTCATCGCTCCCCGTGACCAGAAGTACCAATCCAACTTCGTCGAGTTCCGATCCGCGCCCTCTTCATCTGCCTCGACTTCCCACGCCCAACCCCTCGTCCGCCAGAACCTGTCCTCGACAAAGATTGTGTACCGGCGGTATGCAGGCCTGTTCTTCTGCGTCTGCGTCGACGCCAACGACAACGAGCTCGCCTACCTCGAAGCTATCCACTTCTTTGTCGAGGTGCTGGACCAATTCTTCGGCAACGTTTGCGAATTGGACCTCGTGTTCAACTTCTACAAGGTTTACGCCATTCTCGACGAGGTCTTCTTAGCCGGCGAAATCGAGGAGACGAGCAAACAGGTTGTTTTGACGAGACTGGAGCATTTGGACAAACTAGAGTGAGAGAGCGAGGTCCGAGAAAACGCTCGAGACACACACGTGGAAAGGACACACCTGGTTACCGCAAAGCACTCTCTGGTCGGTTTCTTTAATCTGATATGATGCTACGTCGGCACCCTTCACGGGGCCGCCCTGAAAGCGGGTTGTCAATCAAGCGCAGTGGAAGCTTGAGCATTCAATGTGCTATGCCAATTTTCCGAGGCTGGAACGACGAGTGCCAAACATGAATACTGCATGACAAACTTCTATTCCTCGACAAGAGTGCAGTATCCGAAGCTACACAGCCATGACGAGTCATTCTTGGGATCTCATCCATACAACCCAAACAGACGCCCGATCACACGGTGACCTGGTCGCAAAGCGCTCACCAAGCGATCAAGCGGAGGCGCGGAGCTCGAATCCTGATTGAAAGTAGAGGATGGATGTACGCGCCGCGAGAAAGTGTGTCGAAGATGAAGAATATGTGGCCGTGTCAAGGAGATTTCCAACCGAGTCAGGGGAAAGAGATCGTGAAGATTGAGTCTGGCGTGTAGACAAGGTGCCGCAAGAGCAGAAGATGTCATGGCAGTCGCGCAATCTGCGAGGACTCCATGGTGGGGGAACAAAAACGTCAATGCGTGAGATTTGCAGCTCTGTCGCTTAGCAGGTACCCGATCTGCCTTTTCGTATCTCGCTGACATTGATTCATCTTCATCTCTTGAGCGCCTGAAACCTCTTTGCCAAATCGTCCACAGTCGGGACGTTTCCAGGCACCGCTCCGGCACCTCCCCCAGGGGCTGCGCTCTTCCCTTTTGTCATTCCGGTAGATGGTGCGGACTTCGCATTGTTAACGCCCTTTCTGATCTCCCCTCCTCCAGGCAATTTGACCCTTGGGCTGAGATTGTCAGATGTCGCACCCGGGGGAGCTATTGAGACGGGACTTTTTGCCCCTCCAGGCTCCAAGCTCGACGGCGGTGTCGCATTCTGTAAAGTCCCAATATCGATTTTGTTCGGCCGTGATGGCGTAGCGGGTTTCGGCGGCGGTGGTGCCCCATCTGCAAGCAAAGGCGGCTCCTTCATGCCACCACCCACACCGTCATCATCATCTCCGGCATCCTCACCATCGACTTCTTTACTCAGTGCCTCCACTTGCTCTCCTTCCGTCTGCGGGGGCCAGTCCACTCCATACGTCCTTGCGATCTCCTCCAGATATGCCTGCACAAGCCTCGCACTCGGCGGATCGACTTTCAACTTGTCCACCACCCGAGCGGGCACGCAGTTGTCCTGGTTCTCATTTGCGCGGATCGCAAACTCCTTCCCGAACCGCTCGATCAGCATGCTTCGCACGATGCCGAGCTCTCGCACATCCCGCGGCAGCCTCGGCGCAGAGTAGATGATACTCGCTGCCGCCTCCTCCAAACCCGTGTCATCGCCCGCCTGTGCCGTGCCTTCCTTTATGTTCTTGTCCCTGACGTCCAACAGTCCCGCCCTGGCGAGAAGTAATTCGGCATAAAGTTCCAAGATCTCCATCAGCTCCACGGTGATGTCGGTGTGGATGATGTTCTCGACGCGTATGCGCGCGGACGCCTCGCGGGACTGAGAGAGCAGCTCGGCCATTTCGCGGCGGGCCGACACGGAGAGGGCTGTATCTTTCTTCTGTGCGTTGCGGAGACGAGGGATGAGGAGGCGGAGGGTCGACTTTAATTTTATCTGCCGTAGAGGTCGGTTAGAGAGAGAGAGGCCTAGGTTATTGGTGTAGTAACCTGACAATGGAGATAGAAAGGCTAGCCAGAGGAGCCCCAATGTGCAACACCAAATCCTGAACTGAGTCTAAGAGGCCACCGCCAACACGGCTAACCCGGGATTCTGGAGTAGATCTAACCCAGGTCTAGACAGAGACTCACCGTTTGAGGTGATGCCGCTGGCATGTTGAGTTGGCTGCGCAACCTGGTTCTATCTGTATCTGTTGAAAGGGCTTGACTGGGGTTCGGATTCGAAGGCTGGAGCAGTATACGGAGTATGGGGGTACACCCATTCGATTACTGGATTTTTTCCTGTGGATCCAGAGTAGTATGTCTGGGGGATTGTACTGGAGCAAGAAGAGATATGGTTGTTCGTGTGAGAAAGTGGTGGACGAGTGGTACCGCCCAAAATGAAGGTGCGGGGTTGTGATATTCGAAGGATCACCAGGTACATGGAAGGGTGTGTCTGGGCTGGGGCAACCAGGCATTGTCCACGCTAAAAATGGAGACCCTGATAGGTACCTACAAGTAGATTACTCGAGAACGAAAAGCTAGTTGCCATGGACGATCCTAGAGGGTGACAGAAGGCGGCTTTAACTTGAGCTTTAACTGAGCCTTCAGTTGCCCATCACCGAGCGCTCCCTGAGCACTCCCTAAGCATTCACTGAGCAAACACAGCGGGGGGCTAATCCGGCCCCTAGCGATCGGCTACTTGGTACACTTGCCTCTCGGCGAGGCTCACTAGGCATCTGTTTCAGGCGGGCGTCAGGGAACCTGGCAGATTCCCTGCCCTCATGCTGCTGCCTAAATTTCCTTGTAACCTTGGGCCTGGTGTAACGACAGGGTGCGCTGTTAAATCGTACTATAGAGTTAATATCGAAATCGGCCTTGTCCGTGAACATATAACACACATGCTGTCAAACTGAGGTACTAACGCCTTGGTGTTGAGCTTGTTTAGGTATCTCAAGGGTATCTATAGCCCTTGGACCCACAAATGAGAGTACGAGAAATGTCGAGCAGGCCTGTGAGGCACGAGACCTGCCTAGGCTTCCCAAGAAAAAGCAATTATATCCTTGCGCGGCAGCTCAAACAATTTCTCGGTACCATGCTCCATTGCGCAAAATTGTATATATTCGTCCACAAAACGCCAGAATTACACGAGTAGCAAGAGACTACAAATCCGCAATGGCGCGGCAAAATTGGGCAAAGCTTTTCTCATTCATACAAAGTGTCTAAGTTTTGCAAGGAACTCTGCAAGTATCAAAGACTGACCGAACGCTTGGGCACCACCAAGCAGATATCTGAGACCTGCTTTGATCCGCACACAGCATGCTTGAACCGAGCCAGGTTAATTGTTTTCGGTGAGTGCCTCGCCTCGTCTTCTTCACGAAGACAGGGCAGCTGTCACGCTGTTTTCAGCGACAGCATTTAGTTTTGGCGAACCCCCAAATCCGAGGCATGATGTGCGCGATTCGTCGAACTTCAAGACCAGCCTCGACCAATTTTTGTTGTTGAAGGGTGAGGTGCTCCTCAGAAATAGCTGAACCAGGAGCTGGTCAGAACATCTATGCCTATGGGTGATCACGTCAACTTTTCATTACGGCTGATCTTCTGTCGTTTTAAAAAAGAATATTTTGTCATCGCACATCTTTGACCGACGCCATACTGCTCGCCGTGACTATGAAAACTATCTACTGCCTACTTCCGTTGATTGTACGACCAAATCCATGTCGCTCCTCGAATCCGGCATGTGTCTTATTGGGCAGAGGATTCCTAGGCGCCCTCACGCCGAAGTTATTAACAGCGGCTTGCAGACTTTCGTCGTTCATCTGACCCATCATGTTAAAGGATCGGGCTCCAATGGTCAGGCCATTTGCCCTTATAAGAGCTCCCATCGTCGAGACAACTGTTTGGAAGGAATCGTCTCCAATTGCGATATTCTCGAAGGAATTGATGCGGCGTTGTTGAGCCGTTTCGACCACATCCAAACACTGCCGGGCGCCAGCCAGTTGATGCTCGACTTGAGCTTTGAATGATGTGTTTGGCGATTGGCTACCTCCGCCGAGTTCTTGGAGCTGCTGAGCTGTAGCCCCAACACTATGCAGACAGATCCTCAGTGTGTCAGCTGTTAGTCGAGGAGCAAGTATGTCAGCTCCTTCAGCCGCATCTTGGGTGTCCATTGCCCGCTTCATGCTCCCAGGGCCCCCCGATACCAATAGCCTCAACTTCTTGATATGATTGAGGAGTTGCTGACAGACAAGCAAACATTGCTCCAGGCCAGCCTTTTGGTCCAGAGTCTGTTTAGCAATCAATGAGTCAGTCTTTGAATCTGCGTCCATACTATCGATTGACCGGTCCGCAGGTGCTGATTCCAGCGCTTCGAGCTTTTCGCTCAGCTCTGTGATCTGCTCTTCTAGATCCGAGGCCGTATCTTTTGTCAGTTCCGCGTATTGCTCAATGAGCTGCTGGGTCACTCTGGTACTTTTGCTGTCACGGACAAAGTCAGCGCAAGGAGGGTAGCTAACTGAAAATGCCAAGAGTGACATACAGGTTGTAATCCGCAAGAGCTATGGTCACAGTAGCCTTGTAGCTGCCAATGAGTTTTCTGAAATTGTTGATATCGCCCCCCAAAAATTGCAACTTTGTCCATGCTTTAATTTGTTTCACTGAGCTCCCAGATTCCTTCAATAAGTCAAGCACCTTCGTCTCAAATTCTTTGCAGGCCTGGCCACATCGTTCCAGGATGAGCCTGAGTACTTCGAAGTTCTCGGTGGACTCTTCAAGGTTCTTTTGCAGGGCCTTCAGGACGATGTTCAGATCACCAATCTCGATTTTGAGGTGCTGGACATCTTGTTTGCGGCTTTTCGAATCGTCGATGGTCTGGTATAATGAGGCAGTCGCTTGCACGCAGACCGTGATCAATGTAAATATGCTCAAAGGATCCATCAGGTCAGCTTTAACGTAGTATCACACAGACCACAAATATAAGGAAATGCAGTTACGCAGTGAAGGGATTCCAAGAACTTTGTTAAATTTAGCTTATGAGGATTGATTTCTGGTACTGGATGATCTTATATAGTAAGATCGATTCGCGAGACGCTGGTCCACTCTCGAGTTACATCTTCGCTGTTCGCGCGAACGAGGATATGAAACTCGGAGCATACGCGCCCGCAAACGCGCGTGGCTTTCAACCTCGAGCGGCACATCAGGGACGAGTCAATCCAACATCATATGCATTGGAAACGCTCATGTCTCACCAGGCGCCGATGAAATTCTGTCACGGCTGCCACAGATGCTAACATCTCCGCACCACTGGGAGAATTTTTCAAATGCTAATCAGTGACCTCCAGAGCGCTACGCCAGCATAAAAGGTCACGCGAGAACCTATGGTAGGCTCGCAACGAGGCATTCATGCAACGAGGTTAAAGGAAAAATTTAGAAGCTGGTCGTGTCAGCCTGGTCTGTGAAAAGTCCCTGCTTTGGGCATAATTAATAGAGTAGAAGGGGGGCCGGATTAGGATTCCTTAATTAGCTTCCCGCATGGATCCCATCGTGTTGAAGTTCACCAAAGTTAATAATAATAGTGAGTGAGGAGGATGGTTGACGCTTAAGGATGGCTACAGTGAGCTAGGGTGGAGCAAAGCGGCGAGGGGCTCAGTCACGTGGGGAAGACAGGTCGCCCAGTTTTTTTTTTTGGCAAGACTTAACCGGTACCGTACTTGGTAGACTGCCTAGGGTACATTACTGTTCGGTGCTCAGTACGTCTGTTTATCAACACAATTGATTAAGATCAACTATATATATATGTGTATTCTCTCCAACCCAACACAGCCAAAGGTCAACACATTGCGCTACTCTTGAGCGATCAACTCTCCTCCTCAAAGCCATCTCGATACTATGTCCCAACATGAACTCGCAACAAACAGACGTGGGCATCGTTAGAACAAGGTCTCCAAACCATAGATATTCTGAGCATGCGGTACCATCAACCAGAATCTCTCCCGGATGCACAGGTGATCCGACTGCAAAATGCGTGGTTGACGTAGCTGCGTGCCCCTTGCCGGCATTACCAGAATGATACGGACATGAAAGTATGTTCGCTCAGTGCAAAAGACAGAAAAGCTCTCGATCGAAAATATCCAGGAAGAAGTGAAAAGAATGTGATCAGGTTGTCCAGCTGAGTCAATCATCGGACCAGGTCTGCAAGACCAGCTGCGCTAGTGTTCAAGTCCCCCATAACAAAACCTCGGAGCTCTTCTGCTTTGCCATTCCACACCACAAATTGTCTTGAGCTATGGTGGTGTTATAGTGTGACAGCCACGGAAACGGCTAACGCCGAGAACAGGCTGACCACGGAGAGTCGGAATGTCGAGGTGCCACCAGTGGCGGGCGAGAGCGGAGCGAGCGATGACGAAGATGGCCCGGACGGTACTGCTGTGGCTTCGACAGTTGTTTCGCTGGCTCCTTCGCTAGCCCCTGTCGGTGCTGCGTACGTGGTGTGGTTGAACAACGAGTAATATGGTGAGTAAGTTGGTAGTCTGTAGGGGTTATGGGTTGCGGTAGGAGGCCCTGTCCAAGCCGATACTGCAGGAACAGAGCTTGTTGCGATGACCGACGACGAGGTCCACGACCAAGTTGATTCTGTTGAAGTGGTCGGCGCTCCGCCAGAAGATGACGATTGAGATGAAGCCGTGGGTGACTGCCACGAGCTGGTACTTTGAAAGAACTGTCCTCCATTCTTGCCACCCGAGGATGATGACGATGAATAGCCGCCATTGCCGCCACTGTCGCTGCTATCGCCGCCGGCATTGAAGACCACGAAGTTGGCGCTCGAACCCTTTGCAACCGTTACGACGCAGAAAGCACCACCACCTGCCCCGATGCTCGAGTCGCCGGTCATTTCATTGACCTTGTTTTGAGTCGGATCGATTGCGCACGGAAGGCCTGTGCAGCCGCCATTGGGACAGTCAATTTTTACGCCCCAATCTGGCATTTGATTGCGGAAAGGAGTGGCCGGTTCGAGGTAGATGGGATTCCACCCAAGCTTGATGAAGGTATTCCCGGAGGAATCGACATTGGCTCCGGCAACATATGGGGACCAATTACCATAAGGATTGGTGTTGGAACCCCATACGCAAGCTTGATCAGTATCGATACCCGGGGGGTTAATGTAATAGTGCGCAGCGGTTTCGCACCAATAGCTGGGATCCGGTACTGCGATAGTGGCGAAACCGGTGACGGACGTGGGAATCAACATGGCTTCATTTCCCGGAAGCACTGTCTGGCAGAATGCCACAACTCCGCCTGCATTATTCTGGACGCCGATGTTGCTATTGGTGGCCTGGCAATATGGTTTGTTGGGAAATGGTTTCTGTATGTTGCCGTTTTGGTCGCAGTACAATCCGCCGTTCTGAACTTGGTCAGCACAACTGGGGGGGGGGGGGGGGGGGGGTAGTTCTCAGACGGGGGAACTAACCATTGACTTGGGATATGTGTAGGATGTCGCGCTGGGGTCCCATTGCACAGACACTTGACCTGCTGGGCAAGCGTACGGGCAATAGGTCCCTGGCGTGCACTGCTGGTTTGGGCTCATAGCCCACCCACCATTCTCATCTCCTGGGGTGACCGGAACCAATCCAGCATCTGTGGGAAACGCGCATTGTGCTTGCCGCTTCTCCAAGCTGGCCGGAGGTGCTGGAGTTTCCGGAACCGATCTTATTTCAATCCCTTGCTCTCCATCTTCAATTGTTGACCTGGTGGCCAGTTCGCGATTTGCGCGATGTCGTTTGTGGAGGACTTCGAGGTGTTCATGGATCCCGTTGTGTTTTGCACTGGCGAGAGAAGCGATGAGAAGTAGTAGAGCGCTTGCGCTCGACGTAATTGTCCGTTTCCGCATGGTTGATCGCGTTCAGCGAGTTCTGCGCTATAATTGTTGTCGCATGAGCATCGCCTCGCGACGCCGTGGGAGTGTTCTTTATCGCCAATGTGGACTCGTAAAAGAGTGACTAGGGTCAGTCAGTTGTTTTGGTAAGGAACGTGGGTGCTCGCAGAGCGCGCAACAGCGAAAGCCGACAAACAACGATCCCAGCGACAACGAACGCAGAAACAAAAGCAGAGCGAAAGACGGAATCACAATCGAAGAGAAGGAATCCAAGGTCTGGTAAAACAGTAAAGGAGATGCAGATCAAGCTCAGGAAGGGCAAATTGCCTGGTGACGATGAGCAAGCCGGGCAGGGCCAGTCTGGAGCCATGCAAGGCTGGCGCATTGTTCGTCCACTGAAAAGGTCCAGATAGTTTGGAGAAGGCCCACAGTTAGCACTGTTTGTTTTGTGAATGGGGAAAGGCCAGGGATGCTAACCTCCCATCGCGTCCAGCCCCAATCCACTTTGGAGCAATGTCAATCTCACAGCGCGAATCAGAAATCCTCCGACTTGAGGTTAATGCTTGGGCTCGATAGGGTAATGTCCGTGGGTGATCTGGCTAATCGAATCGTCACAGGGAAGTCAATCACAGGCACATCTCGCCTGTTGCCCGTTGCTGTGTGATGCAACTCAGTTTTTGCTTGGAATGTTGGGGGGGCAATCTCGTTGAATTTTAGTCAATTCCAGTCCAAAGTAAGTCGATGCTTTCCCCCCCGGTCCAGGTCTTCGGAGAAGGTCTTTGCTCAGGAACGAGACTGGTCGAGGACATGCTCGCTCTTTCGTGTAGGTAGGTAGCTCTTAGTTCCACGAAAGTTGAAACCTTCTAACTGGGGGACTGTTTGACTTTGCTACCATAGTTCTGCATAGATTCGACGACCCACGAGTTAGATAGGTTCCCCAGCGAAAGACATGCCCCTTGTTTTGGTTGATGGTTGCTGGGGTCGGGGATTAAAATTGGAGCGTGTTGCGCCACGGCAGTCGGTCCAGCCGCCTTGGAGCCCATAAGCGTGAACAGATGAACTCGGTACGAGGTACTCGTTCGAAGTGATTCTCTAAGCGCCGCAAGATGCGCATCATTGACCGAAGATATCAGGCCGGGCGAGATGACATGTTGATCTTAATACCGAGTAATGATACCGAGTAACTGTTCGCCGTTGGGACAAATGGGGACCAAGTAGAAGAGGAAGGTCGCGGTTTCGTCGTAAACAATCAACGAGGTCACGTGACCTCTCTTGGGGCTCCACCAAATGAGGGCTGAATCAGTCCATCACAATACTGAACAACTCAAAACGGATGACATCGAGACCTCGTACAAGGCTCAAGACATGGGACCGGGCAGGTCCTTCCAAGCTGAATTGTCTCCAAACCCTTTCCAGCCCCAACAGATGCAATAATGCTTTGCAAGAAGCACAAACTCCTCTACCTCATCCATCCACTCCAACCCTTCAACACGTTCCTTCTCCTCTGGGGCTACCCATCGTTGCCAGATGAAGTCTATGTCAGCCGCTTCTGCACCTCCGCTGGGGCCTGCCCCGTCTTCCCTAAAGCCATGCGTCCTCAACCTTGTTCTCTGTTCGTCCAGACCAGCATATTTCTCGAGAGTCTGCAGTTGGATCCCTCGACTCATCAGATTGCTTACCATGGTTTTTCCAAACGAGTCATGGGGGCGGATAGGCTCGTAGATGGCAATGGCTAATGGCGTCGTTTCCGGAAATAGCTGTGAGAAGTAGTGCAACACCGCATCAGCGCCATCAGGCGGCAGGTACACGAGACAGCACTCCGAAATTATCAACGTGGGAAGGGCCATGTCCATGCCGGTCAACAAGGTCTCCTTCTGTGGGAGGTGCCGGAGGTCCTGAGGATGGACGACGTAGTCGGAGGACATGAAGGCAGCCGCGTCGTGGGAAAGCCGAACGTCTGCTCCACGCATGTCTACCTCAGCAAATTGCTTCGCGGCTGCTTCAAAGCTTGGGCTCCGCAATTGGGCGATCTTCCGTCTCGTGTTCGCCTCGAAGTCGAGTTCATGGTAAATCAAGTCACTTTTTCGACGTTTCTGCCTCAACCGAAAATATCTGGTGTCACTGCCGGCGCCCAGGGAGATGATCTGTTTGCGTCCCTCCCCGGCAGAAGCCAGAAAAGTATCGACGATACGATCAATACAGGTTGTCCTGACATAAGTTCCTGCAGACGGTAAATGGAGAACTCGGATCGATTTTGCGGACAGAGGCCTACCTCTGTTCATGAGCGGCAACCGTCTTGAGACGGGGGTTCCAGTGTGCAACAGGGCAGAGAATGGATCTTCGAGATAACCAGCATCCACAGCACTTTGCCGAGAAGTGGCGGCATCGTTATCGGTATGTTGAACAATTTCATCGTGATGAAGCTGGTTGCGACCACCGGCATGTGGTCCGTGATCTACTCGACCTCTCCCTCGTCCACGGTGGCCTCCTCTGCGAAGGGAGTTCAAATTTGGGATCGCTGGTGCAGACATGGTTGCAAAATGCAGCAGGGTTTTCCCGCATCAGCGAGATGCAAGTACGCGGGCAATACATGAAAGTGTCAGGCGATCGGATGGGAGCGTCCGAGTGACAACCTCACAGTACAAGGCGAGTACCCAGTAGGTTCCGTAGGTGGTAGTTTTGCCGATGCGTGGAAGACTTGGCTGTGGCTGCTATGACGCCATGTCTCCATCTGCTGAAAAGGGGCTGAAAAGGGGCATAAAGGAGTGGCCTAAAGGGATCCAGCGCCATTGATTGCTTCTGTCTTCAGCTTCTCAATTCACCAGTCTCTTGGGACCTCAAAGTACGAGGTAATCATGACCCTAATATGCCATGGATCATGGAGGTAAAACAAGAAGGAGGACGATGTCTCAGATGCAGAAATATGGCAGAGGGCGCAATTCTCACCTGCTGGACACTTCACACCTAGACGCCCTGAAGAACAAAGTGCAACTTTTGTCGTCGATATTTATCTGCAAAGCGCTCACCCTGGACCGATGATATTCTGACCATGAAACATTCGTGGCTGGCATGCGAAATATTTGGACAAGCCAAATGCCAGTATACTCAGTGGTGAATCTTGGCCTCTCCAAAGATCATTTCTGTTTCCAGACCCGAGCACCCGAAGGTAACTCTGGGCGAGAATCCTGAGTACTGATTCCTGATCATCCTGTACCTTGGTCCCTAAGTAGGTTCAAAGCATAACGAGCCCCCCCGAGCCACGTGCATGTGGTGAAGATGACTTGATAGGCGAGCCGGTGTAGCCTCACCAGAGTCGTGACAAGGCTGACTGGCGCAAACGCCCTCGTCTCTTTCTTTCCGCTCTGCAAACATTTAATACGGCCTTTGTTTTTGGGATGATTTGGCATTCGGTTCTACACGATGTTCCGGACAGAAGAAGCAACACGGGAATACGCGTGGGCATCGACTTCCCCCCCATATTCGACAGGAAAACCAAAAACACGTTAGAACCTAAGCGCACGATGGACAGACGGAGGGCGGATGGTTTTTTTTTTTTTTTTTTTTTTTTGGAAATAAATCACCATCGACTCGCCAAATTTCGGGTCGAAGACCCGAAAGCCACCATGTTGACCCCGTTCAAGTTCGGGGAGCCCGAGCCACCGGTCATGTACCGCGATGCGTAACTGATAAAACTTCCAACTCAGCCGCTTTAAACTATGATCATTCATCTTTTGCCTTTGACTGAACATCGGTTTCCGGGAGATCCCGCCGCGGTGGCCGTGGGTTTAAGACCGGCTTCCCATACTTTGTTCACGGGGGAACCTGAGACCGTTTCCCAAGTACCTCGTAGAGTTCAAAGTCAACAACCAATTAACCCAGAAAAAAAAAAAAAAAAAAAAAAAAAATCCCAATTGGATTTGATCAATGCGTTCCGTAGATGGCCATCTCGGTGTCCTATCTTTGGTCAGCGGTGTAGATGAGTACTAAGAGTCATTGCCTCCATTATTGGCCAGAGAGGTAAGTGCGCTTGCGCCGCCCATAAGTTCTGACTCTGACAAGGAAATCCCCTGGAGACTACCTTCCTTGGGATGTTTGTGCTGGCGTATGGCTTACCTTTGTCTATATTTTATAGACACGGATGCAGAGATCACCCGGATCACCTAAGAGATCCTCGTCAAAAGCCCACATCCAGAACGTAGTCAAAACCGGGCATGTTTCTTACGATTCCACATATTTTACCCTGGTCTTGGTTCAAGGGGACCACCTCGTGTTCCGAGGCAACTGAGGCTGTTTGTCCACATCACCATCATCAGGAGATGTCTTCTCGCTGTGGCAATGCTACCAGTCCACAAGACTGGATCTTGCGAAGGCAAACGCAATGCTATTGTAGATATTCCCGACTGGGCCGTAATAGCCGAGTCGGATCGAAATATATCATGAGATGGTACGTTCTTATCTCATTTAACCAGGTATTGTGGTGTTTTGATCCCTGATATCCGTAGGAATCCGTAGGTATTTATTCGCAATTAGATTGTTATGTTCATCGTCTCTTGTTCTGAAATCAATTATAGATAAAATAATTCCTGGATTCGTTTGAAGATATGATGACTTTGTTAACATCTGTTACAGCCTCTCAACGGCTAGACTCCCGAGGAAAGCCTACTGTTCAGGTCGAAGTACGAACCGCTGATGGGAAGTTCCGCGCAATTGTGCCGTCAGGGGCGTCCAAAGGAGATTACGAAGCAGTCGAAAAACGAGATGGCGGCAGAGCATTTGGAGGAAATGGTGTGCTCGAGGCAGTAAAGAACGTCGAGGAAATCATTGGCCCTGCGCTCATAGCTCAAAGGTTTGATCTGGGAATGGGATTGAAAGAGTTAGACAACTTCATGGTCGGCCTAGACGGGTCCTCGGACAAAAGTCACTTGGGTGCGAATGCTATCCTTGGTGTTAGTATGGCCTGTGCGAGGGCATGTGCGGCGGCAAAGGTAGGCCATGAGGATGATTATTCCTTTCGAATAATATACCTAACAGATCTGTGTTAAGAATATTCCTCTGTACGAATTTCTGGCACGCGAAACTCGATCACGCCGGCAGGGTTTTGTTATGCCGGTACCATTCTTGAATGTTCTCAACGGAGGCGTCCACTCTGGGAATCCGATGGCATTCCAGGAATTTATGATTGCACCAACGGGAGCCCCCTCCTTCGCTCAAGGTATCCAGTGGGCGGCTGAGGTGTATCAAGAATTGAAATCAATCATCACCAAAACTTTCGGCAAAGCCGCAATTGGCATTGGAGACGAGGGGGGCTTCGCACCGCCTATTTATCAGCCTCATGAAGCGTTGGATCTTATAATGGCCGCTATCAAGTCCGCCGGGTACGAGGGACGTTTCAAGATTGGAATCGACCCAGCCTCAACCGAGTTTTTCAGGGAGGGTGAATATGACCTGGGCTTCAAATCTGGCGAACCTAGGAGGCTATCCAGCGTTCAGTTAATGGATTTGTACCAGGGTCTGGTTGGCAAATATCCAATTGCGCTGTTGGAAGACCCTTTTGCCCAAGATGACTGGGATTCCTGGAGCGCTTTTAACAAGATCTGCAAAGCCAGCGCTGTCGAGCTTGTGGGTGACGACCTCTTGGCAACCAACATCAGGCGTATAGATAAGGCCTCAAAGGCTGATGCATGCAATTCGCTGCTACTGAAGGTGAACCAGATCGGAACAGTGAGCGAAGCCATCTCGGCCGCAGAAAGAGCATACGAGCTCGGGTGGTCTGTTTTTGTATCTCATCGATCCGGAGAGACCACGGACGATTTTATCGCTGACCTGGCTGTCGGAATCGGCTGTGGCCACTTGAAATCTGGTGCACCATGTCGAGGTGAAAGGGTGGCGAAATATAATCGCCTTATGGATATCGAAGAGGAGTTGGAGGCGAAGAAAACTACCTGTTCGTATGCTGGAGAGGCATTCAGGTATGCTCATACTAACACCAAGGGCTGAACCTTCCCCTGTAAATTCGAGATCAGTGGATTGCCATGCCTTCTAATATCTTTGTTGTATGGGGATAGTGGTGGGGGGATAGTTCAGTCCGGACAATGCGATGGAAGAAAGGGGCGCATGAAAAGGTAATCGAAGAGTTAAATCTGGTTCTCCCTCGGAGCGCCAGGTATAACTTTCGCGCGCGAGTTAGCCTTGGAACTGCAAAATAAAGCTATTAACACCCACAATCTTTCTACAGCATTTTGCGAGAAGACATCTGCGGCGCCTTGTATCGAGACGATCTGGGAATGGAATGTCTGACACGATGATCAGGACGCTGATACCACAATACTGGGTAAAAGACGATGCCGTCTGGACCGGGCGGATTGAACTCGTTTCCTCAGCGCCGGGATTTAAGTGAATCCAACCCCCATATGGTATAGGGTAGCATCTTAGCTTGGCATTGTTTTCCAAAAAGTCAGGACATAAGGGCAAGCTCCATTCATGGATCCGCCAGAGCCAAGGGTGGCTTAATACTCAGTCCTGAATTCAGGAAGTAAACAAGTATGGCTTCCTAGGGCAAATTGATACAGCTAGCCTGCATAATCACACAGCGACGTTCATCCCGCGCCCGATCAACTACCGCTATCGTCTACTGGCTTCCGCAACTCCGCGAGATTCTGCTGTGTCCATTGGAGGTCGTGATACTCGCAATGGTGGCAAGAATACCATGTCAATGCCCTTCCATGTCCTCGGTCGCAGTGAATTTGTTCTGCACGGTATTGCCGGCTTATGTCGTTGGTCCCCTTGTCGAAATCGAGCTCCAACAGGGCAGTTCAGACTTCCATCGTCATGTCACAAGTAACGTCTCCATAATTGGCAGATGTGGACAAGCGAACTTCTCCCTCTTCTACACGTGGTGAACGGTTATCCGGCTGACATCGAACAGATCCGAGTGGTAAGCCTTTCCCGGCAACACTATTCCTTCCCAGCCCACGAGAGGGTCGATCAATAGCCCAAGAGAGGTCTTGCCGACTCGGATTCGTCGCTGTGACTAGCAATATTTGACTACCCTAGAAGCAGCTCGAGGTCAGCAGGCACCCATGACGTCGAGGGTGATCAAAGTCCATCCATTTGCAACCGCCTTTCACCAGGCAATCGTTGCAAGATACCTGGTGGTAAGTGGAAAGGACGGAATATAAAGTCCCTCGCGCGACCAATGTGTTCTGAATATGTTTTCGTTGTTTCTGTCTTTTCCTATCTGCAAGCAAAATTTTGTGCTGACGCTTTTCACGACGCTCGAAGCATAGGATTAAATCAACATGGAGTCAAACGTACAGCGATATGATGGAACTGAGAACACCCTGCCGGGCGGCGGGATTTCTGCAGAAGGCAAAGCTCTCGACCAACAGAATGAGTATTTGACTCGCTACCAAACCGCTTGCAGCGTGGTCATACCAAGAGACGTCTTCGAATCGATGTACCTTAGGCCGTATACGCAGAGGCTTGGACATCCCCGAAGCACATTTGCAAACCCTAGTCCTATGTAAGAGAACTGAAATGGATGCAAGATTGTCCTAACCGTATGAGGACTGACTGGCACTTTTCAGGCCACTGATGGGTTTTTAATCGCTTCCATGCCCCTAGGATGTAATCTCATGGGTTGGCGAGGCTCTGGCGGTGGCGGCGCTGCTATCATGTGAGTTCTGGGTGCTGTTGCTGTGCCTTTCTGGTCTATTTACTGACCGTGTGCGTCTCTATAGTGGGCTGTTCTTTTTCTTTGGCGGCATGCCCCAAGTTCTAGGCTGTGTGCTAGAGTTCATCATTGGCAATACCTTTCCCTTCGTCGTTTTCGCATGTTATGGTGAGTCGACTGGCCCCAGAGTTATTTTCAGATAACCTTCTTCTAAATGACGACTTATTTAACAACCCTCATCTTTTCTAAGGTGCTTTCTGGCTGGCAATGGGCGCTACGCTTCAGCCCGATTTCAATGCGCAGGCTTATTACACTACGCACCCCAGTGGTTCTAACCAGTTCTACTTAAGTTTCGGTATGAATAACCTTGTCTTGACGAACAGCAGCTGCAAATATGCTAATCGTCACTTCCGTACAGCATTCTTCTTCCTAGTGGCTTCTCTCCGGACAAATGCCACGTTTGCCTTGGTGTTCTTCTTCATCGATCTCGCGTTCATCATGCTGATGGCCAGCTATTGGACCCTGGCAGAAGGCAAGACAGCTAACTATTGCTGGAAAATGTCAAAAGGCAAGTGAATCGTTCCCCTGTTGAATATCCTCACAAAGCTGCGAAAGTTGTGGGTGTAAACAATGATGTTACAGTTTGCGGTCTTTGGTGATACCTAGATGAGTCTTGCCGGCCAAGAGTGACTGACTGATAGGCAGGCTGCTGGAGTATTCGTCTTTGTGTTCTGCGTGTTCGGCTGGTATTTATTCTTCACAATGATACTGCTCGCGGTGGATTTTCCACTGAATCTCCCAACTGGAGATCTGAGCACCAAGATCAAGGGCGCATCAGAGAAGAAGACATCCAAAGCGGACGCATAGGACCCTCCAGTGGATGAAGGAGTCTGGAAAAATGGCGAGGTGCGGTGCGCTTGATACGAGAAGAGGAATGTATGGTCTTACAGGGTTTCGGTTTATAATCCAGGCGTACTCTATCGACAACTTTGGGCCTGTTTTCATCTCGGATCAGGCCCGGATTTCAAGCAAATCGTTTGGAGAGGCTTGACTTGCAGATTTGTCTCGGAAATACCCCCTTTTGCAAGCTAAAAATAATGGGTTTCTACCAGTCCCCTAGATAGTGGATATTCAGCAACCCCCCCCCCCCCCCCTCCCCCCCGGAGCTCGCCTCCCTCACCTTTACCTTTCCACCCACCCTCACTTCACCTCCGCACTCACCCTCACTTTTACACTCACCCTCACCCGACCCGACGCCACTTCAAAATCCTCTTCAGATATTATCCTCAAAAATGCTGCGTCAAGCCTTC